TCATTGTCATGCCTTTTCGCAGCAAAGGACATCACCTCAAACCATGAGCAAACATAAATGCTTCTTTCCTCAGGTTGTTCCTCATGGTATTTAATCACAGTGATGAAAAAAAGAACTAAACAATAAGAAATTCCTAGAATTTCCGATGTACGGGGCAAGACTTTATGAACTCCTCCCCCAGCTGTGCTGGGGTTTTGACTGACTGGATCTTGTGACTATCCTGTGCATGCAGTGACAGTCTGAATCTGTGTGTGCAACAGCCTTGCCATGCCGGGCAAATACTTCTTTACTTCTGCTGCTGCTGCTGCTCCTGACTCTTCAGTCTGTCTGGCTTCTCTTTGGTAATGATCCCTGAGCTTTGAAGGAAGGGGGTGTATTAGAGACATCTTAGCGCTGACCACTCCACAGTCTCTTATTCTCTGCATGTTGACCAGTTGTGGGTCTAGGTATTAATCACTATCACTGTAAAAGGAAGCTTCCCTGCTGAGGGTTGAGAGACAGTAATTTGTGGGTATAAAGATAACTTGAGAGGCATTTTCTTACTATGTTTATTTAGGAGACTAATAGTATTAGTTTTAATTTATGCCACTGTCTCATCAGTGGCATGGCTTGAGAGGGCAGTCACTGTTGCAGCTTGTTTGCAGGGCTCAGAGCTGGGTAAAACTGTTGACTATGTAGCTAGCATGTATAGTACCTTTTAGCACTATGAAAGCTAGCCAGTAGGACAAGCTTCCTGGACAGCTTGACCTGTCCATGTTCTTTGTGTGACACAACATGTCTTTAGTGCTTAGGTGTCACCATCAGCAATGTACTCAAGAGCAACACAGTCGATTGTAGCGATTGAGGGTCTGTGGAACTCCACTGAGCATCACCTAGAAAGGAGGTAACTCATACCTGGCTGTGCTCAACTCCTTCCCGCCTCTCCTGGATTCTTGCTTTGTGGTTGGAATGTGGGACAGCATGGGGCAGGTGAAATATGACTTAGGCAGGAGAAACATGGCTGTCAAGAGCTCCAGTAGGACAAAATATCCAGTTGCCTGCTTTCCCACACCTATGGCTGGCTCAATAAGCTAAGATAAACTCCGACAACAGGGCCCTGGATGCTCTGCTTACTAACATGGCAGCAAGTCCTGAGGCCTGGCCCTTGGGTGCCTCCAATGCGCTAACTTTCAGGAAGTAAGTGGAGAAAAGGTTCATATCTAGGTATGTGACTTAACAAAAGGTTCAATTTAGCTTTACTACAAGGACAGAGTTTAGGTTTAGTTTATACCCTCCCATCAAACTTGGTTATACACAGTAATTGCTAACTTCTTCAAACCCCAACTTTGTAGCAGGCTAATAATTAATGGAGTAAATTCAGGAACTTTTGTTTCTAAACTTCCTTCTACAGGTCAGTTTTTGTAGCTAGAGTCTAGCTGCAAGGAAGTACATAAAATTTTGTTTGTATTGTTTTACCTCAAATCCCACACGATTGAAAATTGATACAGGGTAACATAGTCAAGTGTTCTAAGAGCCCAGCTCCTGACTGAGCTTTGGTGTGGGCAGTGTGGATGCTCCCAGTCAAAGCAGCAGGGCTTCCAAAACCATCACAGTAAGGGGCTAAGGGGTGGGGTCCTCTGTAATTACCTTTCCTTGACCTTTGAATTATTTTATTTTTTTATTTGTAGATTTTAAACGTTTTTTCTTTTTGTAATAATAAAAACTCAGCAACCGAGAACATAAAAAGAACATACTTATTTAAGTGGAGAGAAGTAGATTACCTATATTGTTAGATTCACACCCCCCCATATATACACACCAAATAGAAAAAGGCTAATAATTACTGACATAAATTTAGAGAAAATAATTTCAAATATTCTTTTATGAAGCTAAGAAAAGTGCAGAAATGCACTTTTTCTATCACTTTGTCTTTACCTCGAAATCACATGTTCATAGAGCAGTGTCTTAATAGAACTTCAAATGACATACTATGCATCATTTTTAAGAAAATATCTCCAAATTTTAATATAAGAAAATTTTTTACTCCATGTGTGAGCCTGTGTGTGTGCGTATGTCTGTGTGTGTGCGCGTATGTCTGTGTATGTGTCTGTGTGTGTGTGTGTGTGTGTGTGGTGCCTGTATTAATGTGCTTGTGCCTTTAAAAGCCAGATGAAATGTGGGTGTTATTTTTTAGGATCTGTGCACTTTGTTATAGTGAGACAAGAGTCTCTCTGTGGCCTGGGGCTTGGAGATTAGACTAAACTGACTGGCCTGTGAGCCTAGGGAATCCTCCCCCTGTCTCTCCAAGGCTGGGCTTACAAATGCTGTTGACTACCACACCCAGCTTTTCACTTGGATTCTGGGTTGCTTATTAAGTTTGTGTGGCAAACATTTTCTGGCCTGAGCCTTTCCCTGGTCTCTAATTATTAGTAGTGTCTATAAAGTATATTTCCTTTATTGAGGGATTCGTTGCAGCAGTTTTGTTCTTTCCTGTTTAAATTACAGAGGGATTGAGATTAGGAATTCTTTGTGGACAAGATGGCTGAGAGTTTGGAACTGTCTTCCTCTCCGTCCTCTTCTGTAGAGGCCACACAGTTTGTGGATTTTAGGTCTGAAGTCTTAAAGCTAGCCCATTAGTTTGCCCAATCTGTTGTGTATAATCTGGCAAGCTACTCATCTGTAGTGTGCCCCAGTTCTTCACGATTGAGGACTTACTTATGCCCACCACCATAGGGAAGCTGTGGGAATTTATTGATTTCCAAACTGCTGGGTAGTATATAGTAAATGTTTGATGTTACCACTACCTTGAGTGGAAGAGATTGGAAAGTGCCAGGACTTCCTATTGTCCTATTGTCCACACTGGTGTTAAAGGAACTCATTAAAGGCACTAAAGACATCTGGCATCTTCTGTCTTCTCCCAAGAGATTATGGTATTTTAAGAAGATAAAAGGTGTACATCTGCTATAGATATATAGGACTACTAGGTTAGTAACCCTACATATCTTTGATTGGTGGCTCAGTCTCTGTGAGCTACCATGGGCCCACGTTAGTTGACACTGTAGATCTTCTCATAGTATCCTTGACCCCTCCAGATCATTTAATTCTATCCCCCATTCTTCCATAAGACTCTCTTGATATTCGGCTGTTCGTCTCTGCATCTGTTTTTATCCGCTGCTGGATGAAACCTCTCAGGAGAAGTGTCACTAATAGTATTGGGGGTTGGCTCTATCCTGTGGGATGGGTCTTTAAGTTGGGGCAGTCATTGATTGCTGTTCTCCAGTCTCTGTTCTACCTTTTCCCCTACATATCCTGTAGGCAAGACAAATTTTGTTTTGAAGGATTTGTGGGTGGATCCCCTAACAATAGGAGCAGGGATTGTCTTGGTCTCTGTTCCCTGCCATTGGAACCCTTTCCCCTAACTGGACTGTCTAGTTGGGCCTTAGTGGGAAGGAATGTGCTTAGTTACACTAGGAGTAGATACCCCAGGATAGGGGTGGTACCCAAGGGGGTTTTCCCTTCTCTGAGGGAGAGGGTAGGGAGGGGAAGGATTTGTAAGAGTGGGACTGGGAGAGAGGCACTGTGATTGGTGTATTAAGTGAATAAATTAAATAAATTAATTTAAAAAAAGAACACAAAGGAAGGTGACCTTGACAAATCCTTATTTTCACTACAGAATAGAAGATGAAACTTGTTCAAGTAACAGAAGTCAAGCCTATCATGTTTTTTTCACCAGAATTTTTTTTTTTACGGTATTCTAGAAGATATTGGCCAAGTAGAAGATGCTAATGGTAAAATTATAAAACAGAAAAAATTATTATCATTTGTTAATAATACTGTCTAAAATGGAGAATTTAAAATAAGCTGAAAGTACTCTAATCAATAAATTGACAACAAATGTGTTACAGATTAGCCTTCACAGATTTGTACATCAACAACAGTGTGTATTAGCACAGAAAATATTTTATGGACATCAGAAAAAATTTAAAATAGGAATAGGGTGATTACCCCAATCTGAAATCCCAAAGATCCAAACATTTGAGTGTTAACATGTAGGCAGAGATGGAAACTATTACACCTGACCTCAGGACTCACCGTCAAAATGCAGGAACCCTAAAAATATATCAAAGTACCTCTGACTGTATAGTATTTCAGAGACATAAATGGATTTGTATTCAGACATTGGTGCCATCCGCAGCTATGTCATTATACAAACAGATATTTCAAAATGTGAAAGAAATTGGTATTTGAAACACTTCTTGTCCCAAGCCTTGAGTTTCCTCCTTTGTACTACCTGATAGAATTTTTCTCAAGGGTAATTGAAAAGTGATGTGTATAACTGAATGTGTACTGTGTTTATGAACACAGAGTCTATAGTCAGGAGTGTCTCCAGTGATCTTTGTACTCGGGCAGAACGTGAAGGATTCTGAGATGTAATCTGTGTTACTGTTGGCCTTACCCTGAGTCTATCTTTTTCTGTCTCTTCTTTTCTCCTCCACTTTTACAGGAGTGGGACTTCCTGTAAAAATCCAGGCAGTAAGGTAGTTTATAAAGGTGGTGGTGCTTTGTGTGTTTATTTTGCTATTTCACTTGTAACCCTGGTCCACCAGTAATCGTGGCCCTTTGTTCTAAGGTACCTTTACCTATGGATTTTGTTCCTCTGGGGTCTTTTTGGGATGCTTTTTATCTAGTGGTTCCTGTACAGTGTTGAAAACAATAGGGCCTCACATGTTCTGTGGAGTGTGAGGGAGTGAATGAAAACTGTAGCTGGAATGTAAGCTGCTGTCTTGGTGCAGTGCAGGCTTAACCACAATGCTTCTTTTGAAAGGTCAGTGATCTCTCTTAGATGCTAAGCCTGGTTAAGCCTTTCCTCAGTTTAGGCTTTGCAAGTTTACCTCAGGAATGTTTATGAGGTCTACAGAGTCTGGCCCCGAATGTGCTGGGGTCTCCTTGGAAGTGCTTGCCTGTAAGGAGAAAGTATTTCTTCATGCTAAAATAGTAATATACATTTCTTTTTCTTTCAGCTTTCTTTGCAGCGCTACTGCACTGGTAAGATTTTTTTCTTCATTGTTATGTATTATGTAAATGTTCATAATTTACCAAAGCTATAGCCCATGTATTTAAAGGACTAGCTTCTGTATCATAAAGATGGATGTATTTTACTTATACCACAGTTTTCTGAAATATTAGTTTAATTGATAAATTAGGATCAGAATAATAAAACTGTTACATAAAGTTATCTATTATTAAAGAGGCTATATTTGATACTCTAATTTGTGTAACATTAATATGGTGTATATGTTAAATGTTAAATTGATGTTTTTAATCTTCTGGGTGGAGAGATGTATGAATTTTCTGAACCAGGCAGTTTCTGTATGGTACCCAATGGCATAGTCAATGTGATCTATATTTTTATAGTACATCACTTAAAATATCGTTATGGTTTATTTGAATGTTAAAATCTAATTGGAATGTGTTTCTTATGGAGAAGACTTAGTAGAATTGTGAAAACCTGGTAGAAAACAAATATAGATACAATGGTGTTTCAGTTTTGTTGCAAATAGTCTGCAATCTGTAGGACGGTTCCTTTGCCTTTGAAGTAGCTCTCTCGGCCTTCAGCACTGACCACCCTGTTGTTGAATGTTCCCAGGAGCCACATAACGCACCTCTTTGAAAACGACCGGCATTTTTCTCACCTCTCAACGCTGGAAAGGGAGATGGCGTTCCGCACTGAAATGGTTAGTTGTGTGTGTGGATAGTATTTCATTGTATTTTGGGACTCTAAATATTTCAAAGCTTTCTTGGCATGAAAAGTTTCAGCAAGACATTCCCAAATAAAAGTAGTAGCCACTTCTGCGTCCTTGTAGCTTCAGCAGCAGACAACACACAGTCATCCATATTTCCTTGCCCATCTTTGTTTGAAGGAAATTAGACTTAACTCTCGTGCTACTGCATTTGAAGTTCCTCAAAGGACTTTTTGTCCCTAGTAATTTCTTAGCACCATCAGATGAAATTTTTTGAATGAGCTGATTGGCACTTGATGGCAGCTGATGTCCTTAACTGAAGATGCAAATTGTCTGCACCTACGATTTGTTGGTTTTCTTTTTTTTTTTTTTTGTTTTTTTGTTTTTTTGTTTTTCGAGACAGGGTTTTTCTGTGTAGCCTTGGCTGTCCTGGAACTCACTCTGTAGACCAGGCTGGCCTCAAACTCAGAAATCCACCTGCCTCTGCCTCCCAAGTGCTGGGATTAAAGGCGTGCACCACCATCTCCCGGCCCTGCACCTACGTTTACCTGCTGTATTGATGGATCTTTTAATATGTAAGTCCTTCTTTCTGTTTTGTTTTCATGCTATTTATCTATTGAGGAACCATATATGCTCCCATACACATACACAACCACACACACGTGTGTGTGTGTATTTATACATATACATATACATATACATATACATATACATATACATATACATATACATATACATATACATACTAATTCCTCAATATACATGTAGTATACATATATGTTACATAGACTTGGCTGTAACTCACATTCTTATGATGTTTCTATCTCCTGTGCTTTCTGAATGGAAAATATGACTTCTTTCTGGAAGGAATACTTCCTAGCTTATGCTGGGCCCTTTTTATTGTAGCATCTCAAGGTTCACAGAGGGGACTGGTTGCCTTCTCAGATATTCAGTCTGGGGAGTAGCTTAAGGAATGGACTGGCTGAGGCCTTCTTAGAGCCCAGCCGTCTGTGTAGCTCACTCATCTTGATAGAACAGACCCTGCCATTATTTTTCTTCACATGCTGACTTTTATTTCTGGAAAGAATTTTCCTGCTACATTGCTTCAGTGTCTTTTCTAGGCTTACTAATTAGTGGAAAGACAGGAAAATGATCCATTCTTTCATTTATAGTGTTTTTTTTTTTTATAAAATAAAGTGATTCTCTCACATCTTCTAGTCAGAATCAGTAGACTGATTGGCATATATTGTGTAACCTTTGGTGTCTGGAACTGGCCAGTCTCTGCAGTTGGCTGTGCTGGCCTCAGGGGGACCTCACTAGTGTTTCCTTGGTGTCCAGGCCTTCCTTACTTTGGGATGCTGCATGACATCTCCTACCCAACTCGCAATAGCCAGTTTTCCAAGGAGCTCAGTTCTTTTCAGCTGTCAATGGCATGGAGCGACCAGGACCCCTGTGTTGCAGATGCTCATGGCTACTGCATGGGCCATTGAGACTTGGCCTTTTAGTGAGCAGAATTAGGAAACTTTTTTTTTAAACAAACCCAATAAGTCATGAATTTATATTAAAATTTTTAAATTAAAATTTAGGATTTGTTCTATTTTACTTGATATTAAATTTGTTTTACTCTGAGAGTATTAATTTCAAATTATTTACTTAGTAGAATAAAAATGTCAAGCTCAGTAGAAATATAATTATTAAATGAATTTTAGGATTTCTGGAAGTCTGTCTCAATGCTTTGCTGTGTTCCACTTAGATTGCCCAGTAGGGTTACTTGGTATTCTCTTCCAATCTGATAAAAATTAATGCCTTTTTAAATTTTTGTTACTTAAATATTTAAAGTTGTATGTTTTTGTGATTAACTAAAATGTTAATATGTTTCTAAAATGAAACTCAGAGCAGGTAGATGCAGTAGTTTGGGACTCTGACAGTCCCAGAGTCTAGAAGGGATGGACCAGGTGCCACTCTGTGAGGTCGGCTGGTGTTTGCTGCCGGTCTGGGTTCCCTTGGTTTATTGCTGCACTGCTCTTCAGTTTCTGCTTCTGTCCTCTTGGTTCTTTTGTCCTTTGTGTTTGACTTTCCCTGGTGTAAGTCTGTGTCCACATTAGAGTCACTCGAATCTCTTTGCCATTACTTCAACTTGATTGTATCATTGAAGAGCCTGTTTAAATGAGACCATATTCACTAGTTCTGGCCTACAGGAAAATGTTAGAGACCCTGTTAACTTAATACAGGAGGAAGTCTATCTTATTCTAGAAAGGATTATGTGAGAACTAACTCAAGACAGAATCAAACTTTCTTTCTCTGGAGACATTCTGAGTAGTAGGGAAGTCACCTTTCTGTGTTCAGAGATTTGACAGGTGCACCCACTTTGGTTAAACTGAAGAGAAGGTGGCATTTTCCCTGTATGCCTCTGTGTCCCTTACAGTGCCTCTCAGATTCTTGCCTAAGCTTCATGGATGGTCAGGGGACCTTATTTTTGTTTTATTTTGTTTATTTATTAAGAAGAAGTCTCCTGTTTGCTGAGCTGGTTCAGACTTACTTTACAGCTGAAGATGACCTTGAACCACTTATTTTTCTGCCTTTACTTTGTTAAGTGCAGGGCTTACGCTGTTGGGTGTATGTAATGATGGGCATTGAACCCAGAGCCTCCTGCGTGCTGGGCGAGTACTCAGCCGAGTGAGTTATGCCATCAGCTCTGCCTCATATTGTTTTTGTCTCATGTCATTTCACCTTTGTTACAGTCCTTTTCAAAGTAGCATGTCAGACTAAACTTTCCTAGCTCTCTCAAAATGCAGTCCTTCCCAGGCCCCAGTGTCAGCTCTTAGACTGTTGCTATGGGAGGAAGTGGTCTGTAAAATTACTGTTTAATAGGGATGTGTATAATGTGCAGTCTTTTTCAAAAACACATTTAGATGTTTGAATGTAAATTTGGAGGAAATAAGACTAATGTCATTTTTGGGTGTTGAATAGACTCTTTATACATGGCATGTGCTGAATTACATGTATACATATTTAAATTCTGAAACTATTTTTGAAGCTATTTTCCCATTTAATTATTTTAATTATGATGAAATTCTTCTAAAATATACTTTTTTGCAACCTAAGAATTTAAAAATGATCAGAAACCTGTGAAATTAATTGTAGCTATTACCTGCTTGAGTGCTCAGTTTTTCAAAACCAGTGTTCTTTAAATATTTGTAATCTAAGATGATGAATAACTATACACTTTTTATTACAATTGGAACGTATACTTTTTTCAGGGGCTGTATTATTCTTACTTCAAGACTATTGTGGAAGCACCCTCGTTTTTGAATGGAGTATGGATGATAATGAATGACAAGCTGACTGAATACCCCCTTGTTATTAACACATTACAAAGGTTCAATCTTTACCCTGAGGTAAGTTACTACTGTGATTTTTCATGAAAATAAAATGCTTTTTAAAAATTACATGTGAGTCTCTTAAGTTCAGATTTACCATACTAAATTTTATTCCACTTTTTAATAAAAATTATGTACCATGTGAAGGAGTTTATTGGGGGAGGGGATTTTGAATCTCTGGGATCTATAATTGTGACGGCATTATTAGAAAATGAGGAACGTCTTTACATTTGGTGAGTTTATATCGAGAGACAAGCATGACTGCCATGGGTCATTTGTCAGATAACAACTCCTTTCTCTGTAGGAAGACATCCCTTCCCTCTCTAGGATGGCATCTTTCCTTCTCTTGAGTAACATCCTTCCCTCCCTAGGGTGACACCCTTCCCTCTCTTGGGTAATATCTCTAGGGTTCCTCTTTCTATTGAGAGCATTTTCTAGGGCAGGATTCAAAGGAAGGTGGGCTCATCCAGGAGATAGGGAGGAAGACTGTGATACCAGAAGCATTTTTAGATGTTCATTACCCTCCCTGCCTTCATTTGATTCATTTGACACATTTCTTAAGCATTTTTCTGGGCCCTGGGCTAAGAACCAATTCCTTTGTGACTTGAAATCAGGATCTCTTACAAAGCCCAATATCTTCCCTTACCTTCTTAACATTGGTACAGAATGGCACCCAATGTCTGGGCTGTGTCTGTCTAGGTCTCTGCTCAGCAGCTGTCCTTAGTGGGTCTGCAGTTTTTCTCTACAGAGAAAACTTCACTTCTGGGTCAATGACTTGGTTGATTACTGAGCAGTCAGTATGAGTTCCCTCCATAGTTCAGTGTTTTCCCACAAAGTACTGCTCTTGAATGTTTTCTCTGACTATATGCAAGCAGACTTTACGAAAATGGGATTACAGGCTATGCAGTATTTTTACGTGTGTGTTTTATCTTTGGGGTCATTTGTAGCCTCCACTTTCATTTTAAGACAGGGTTCCTCTGTGTACCATGGCTGCTGGTGTGTCATTTGTACTAATTGTATGCATCATCTACCATTGTCTTTCTATGTCACCATGGCTGTTGGTGTGTCATTTATAACGGTTGTGTGCATGATCTTCTATGGACATTTTACATTTTCACAGTTGTGAATATTCTAAGCAAAGTGGCAGCAAACATCTGTGAATCTAAATCTTTATTATACACATTGGCCTTATTTAGGTTTTACTGCTTTGATAGAACACTACAACCAAAAGGAATTTGGAGAGGAAAGGGTTTATATAGTTTATCTAATGTTCCCAGTCCATTGAGAAAAACCAAACAGGACATTCAAGGCAGGAACTTGGAGGCAGGGCAGCGACTGGAGAAGAGACCATGGGAGAATGCTGTTCACTGGTTTGCTCCCCACAGTCTGCCCATGAGTGGAAATTCCCACATCAATTACTAATCAAAGAAAATGCGCCACAGATTTGCTTGGAGGTCAGTCTTTTGGAGGTGTTTTCTCAAATAAGATTTCCTCCTCCAAGATATGTCTAGCTTTGTGTCAAATTGATAGAAAGAAACCACCAGCAAAACATTTATTCAGTTTTTTTAAACTATAAATTTGTGAATATAGCTCTTCAGTTTAGCAGAATGTGCATTGTAATGATTTTGGGGCTTATTGCCAAAAACCCTTCCATATAGGTTATACCAATTGGATCCCTGCCAATAGCAGTTTGGGAAATGTTGATTTGCATCCTTGCTGATTTTGATAGACAAGGAAATTATAAGCACTTGGTGCATTTTATTTAATTCATGTATATGAATGCATTTTAGTGCTATATAAATATCCATTTCTATTTTGAAAAAGAATTCCTGTTTATGCCCCCATATCTGTTTCTATTGAGTTTCTTAAAGACTCACTTTTTTATATATAAGATGTTATGATTATGACATTAATGAAATATTTATCTTTCTAGCTATAAATACATATTTTCCCATGCAACATTTTATGTGCATGAATCTTCTAACTTACGACTTTTAAATATGCATGTAAAATATTTATTCTTTATAGTTATATACTTATGTT